TTTTAATGCCATGATAATCAGACTTCTCTGGTACAAAGAGAGGGCCAACAAATTTTACATAGGTTTTTCAGATTGGGGGGGGTGTCTGTGCCCCTAACCCTAATCCCTAACAATCTGGAAGGGATAACTGTACTTGTATAGAGATATTAAGGTATAGTACAAAGGTGTTGAATCAACATTTTTTCCTTAAAACTTGCTCTTCCTCTTGACTTCACTTTCCACCTTTAGCAATCTGATTCACCCAATCTCCCCTGTTTAAAACTCTGGGATTATTCTTGACTCTTTCCTTGATCTTATCTCTCATCAGTTACCAAATCTTGCCAATTCCATCTCTGCAATTCCTCTCCATTCTCACTACTACAACCACAGTACAAGTCCTCATCAAGACTCACCTAAGCTACTGAAATAACTACTTCCAGTTGCCACTCTCCTCCTTCACAATTCTTCATACCATTGCCAGAATAATCATCCATATGCACAAATTTGGACCTATCACTTCTGTGTTCAAAAATTTTCAATGGCTCCCTCTTGCTTTTTGAATAAAGATAAAAATCCCTATGTCTGGTATTCAAAGCTCTCCATAATCTGGTGTCCTTCTAAACTTCCCTACCTTGATCTTCATATTACCTGTTTCTCTCATCCCTCTACCAACTCCAAGCTCCAGCCAAACTAGTTTACTCTTTGTCCCCTAGATGACATTGTTTCATTACTCAGCCACACAGGAAGAACCAAATAAATGGACAAATAATGCCTATTGTCCAGGCTATGTCATTAAGTTTTATCAACAGCCCACTAGTTAGACCATCAGCTGATATCTTGAATTGCCACTGCATGTGGAATAATAAGCTAGGTATGGAACTGGATAGCAGGTAAAAAGCTGAACTGCACTTGAAAAATTCCATAGTGTTTTCAGAAATCCTAAGCCACTCTTTGACATATGCCAATAATCATCATCTTTTTTTAACATCAATGATCTTCCCATGATGCTACTCGAACTCTAGTGGCATCCTAAATCAAATACAAGTTCCTTTGTTAGCATTTAAAGATCTTTACAACCTGCCACCAACCTGCCTTTCCAGGCTGATCACATGTTACTCAGCTTCAAGTACACTATGACCAGGTCCAATTGGCCTTCTTACAGTTACTCATCAAAAGCCCTTCATCTCCCATCTCTAGGCTTTTGCATTGGTTGTCCACACCCTTCTCACTTTTGTCTCTTAGAATCCCTTGTTTCCTCTAAGCCTTAGCTCAAGTACCAACTTCTACATGAAAACTTTCCTGATCTTCCCCAGGTCCTTGTTTCTGCACTCCAAAATTATCCTGCATCCCTTTTGTAGGTATCTATATGTGGTACACATGTGTGTGTATATTTATCTTCTCCCAGACTGCAAACTACTCCCAGGTAACGTCAACTTCACTTCTGTCTTTGTATCCCAAATGCTTGGCACGATGCCTGACATAAAGAAGGCACTTAATCAGTGCTTGCTGAGTGATGGATACAGTTGTGAACCACAGACTACAACAATATCTGAAAAATAAAAATTTCCAGTAACTTGAAAGGCAACAAAGAGGCATAAGTAGACTGCAGTAAACACAGACTATGATTTGTAAGTAGCATCACTCCCTGGAAAGTATGATGTGATAAGAATATGAACCAGTCAAGTTAACTTCAACAAAACTAAATTAGGTAGCTTATTTCAACGGGTAACAGAGAGACTTGTTGTCTTCCCCATTAGAATACAAGTACTTTGCCAGTTAAGGGTTTTTTTATGCATTTTATTTGTAACCCTGGCACCTAGCTCAGAGCCTAGCACACTTTAGGCCTCAATAAATGCTTGGTGACAGAGGTACTGCACTGACACCGATGCAATGTTAAAAGATGAGAGAGGATATAGCACACCAGGTGGATACTCTAGTGGATTTATATGAGGACATGGACAAGAATCACATAAGATTGGAGTGTACAGATATGTTCCAATCTGCACAAGTAGAGAGAAATGGACACAACGAGAGTACAGCTCCATAGAAGTATATCATTTAAGCTGTAAGATATTCAATTTATAAAATAGCAAAGCAAAATATAACTGAGTTTTATGGTACTTTGGATGTCTTTTTCACAAAACATCGTCCCAATGCATGTCATAACATTAAAAATTTGGCATAAGTCCAAAAATACAAATGAAAAATCTAACTTCCATAATCTTCCATAACGTTAAATTATTTTAGTCTCAGTCACTGAGTAAGTCTTTAGAAAAGCAAGAATGCCTAACTACTATTCCAGCTCTCTGTTCCCTAACTACCTAAGATCAAAAGCATACTTGCCAGAAAGGAAAACCTCTTCTTACCAGCCTCAGTCCTATTCTACACCGGCTGTGGTTCTGTTTTGGATGATATCTAAAATAGGCATGGTGTACTACCATGTATAGTTTTTAGCTTTAATAGATCAGAACTGCACTAAGACTTTTGGGACAACCTGTACTTGCAAATTTAAAAGTTATTGTTTTGCAAAAAGTAGAAATGGGTGATAAGACTAGAATTTCTTAATTCAATAACCAATCTACAAACTTCAGTGGAATAAACAAATTTCATGTTATCTAAGCAAAGCATTAGACTTATCAGGGCTGATAAATATATTAGGACTGACCCAGTACAGGATACACTGTGCTGTCATTTCTCAAAAGCAGAAAGGAGCCCTATCTTTCTGCTTATCTCCCACGAATGAAAGCTGCCAAAGGTTTAACAACATTGATTAAATGACTTTATTATCTATTTACCTTCTCTACCCCTAACTTCGTGGTTTATGCAGAATAAGAATTGTTTCTAATTCATCAAAGTGATAGAAAGACTACTGAATCTGAAACTATAGGCCCTTGGCCTCAAATCACAGTTCTTTCACTAACTAGGTAGGTGAAAATTTGGTCAAGTCATTTAACCTCTCGAGGCCCCAGTTTCATGTGGGGAGGGGGGAGGAATTACTAGGTAGCGTCTAGGGTCTCCTCCAGATATACAATTATGATTCTATGATTTACCGAAAGTTTCACAATGCTTGTTGAAACAAAGCTATTAGATTCACTTCCATTAATAACTTCTATACAAATTAACTATCATTTAAGTTAAAAAGCTGAATACTAAATTTGGATGTTCATGCTTCATTCATACAATCATCTCCAAACCAGTAAACTATCAGACTAGATATGGTACAAAAATTTCATTTTGTTCTGCACATGAATGTCATTACACATAAACTTCTGAAATTAGCTTCTAACCCATCCAGACAGGCAAGGACAGCATTTAAACTCACTATCTAGTCTGCAAGATTTTTGTTGTGGTTTTTAAAAATTCTATTATTTCACATTCCTCACAACCTTAAACTTGAAGTTACAATACTTGATGACCGGTGCCTTCAGAGTTCTGCAGGAAACAGCATCACAAAATGGATTTGCCTACACATAGTAAAATGCAACCATAGAAAAAGGCAAAACCATGGACACAAAAGAAAAGCAACAGAGAACCTTATCATTTTCTTAACAAAAGGTTTCTACCTTTAGATTTTAGTACTTAAATTTCTCCCTGTGTTTTGTATAAACTTCATCTTGAGACTGACTACATGTCCTATCTTCATGAAAGGGATTCTTTGAAAGGTATGGGAAATAAACTAACAAATACAGAAAAAGAATCCATTTCCCCCAGAAAATACCCCATTCTCAGTAAACAGGTCTCAACCCCAAAGGATAGGTAAGCCAGTTCACCTTAGCAGTCAAGCAAGCAAAACTGAAATAACGACTCATTTAAATTAAATCACCCTCAAAACTCCAGCACCAAGAACTCTCTACAGCAACCCAGCCTTGGAGGGGGTCTAACAGTAGCGCAAACAATCCCAAGACTAATTACTTCAAAAAGGGTCAAACTTTGAGATTGACATAGTACTTTTTTTTTAAAGGAGAGAACGGAGGAAATGGGTTGATAATATGAGCGGAGTCTGTGTGATTTGTCAGAGGAAACAGCAGACTCCAGACAACATAAGTGCCAGGATTTCCATGCAGCTGGCACGACAGGTGACTGGGCGCTGCTTTGCAGACACCCCACTCCCGACCGCCTCCCCGGGTCTTGGTGAAGGTGGGGTAGGAAGAGCAGAGGTAAACCAGACGGGATGAGGGAGAAGGGGGGGGTGCCAAGGCTGAAGCACAGTGGGAAACCCTCCTCAACTAGAGGAAAAGGAGGAGTGCAAATCCCAGTTTCCCGGGGGGGGGGGGCGGACCGTTTTTGAGGGATTTTTCTGCCACCACAATGAAATAAAATGGCTCCAAGCCAAACGCCTCCAGATCATCACCACCACCCCCTCTCCTCGATCATCACCACCACCCCCTCTCCTCCACACTCCCGGGGAAAACGGCTTTCTCTTTCGCCCCGCTTTTCTCCAGCGTGGAAACAAAAGGCCAAAATAGCAAAACACACGGCAGCAACCGCCGCCCAAGCTGCCAGGGTCAGACACTCGTATCCCACCCCCCCAAAGAAAAAAATTTCAAAAAGCTGAAACCCCCATCCCCCGGCCTCGGAGGCGCCTCCCTCCCAGCCCCCCATAAGACCACAAGCACCCCAGACCTCCGTCTCCCGCTGGGTGTGAGGGTCCGTCCGTCAGTCTGTCTGTCTGTCTCCCTCCCTCCCCTGGCGGCCGTCGCCGCTCCACGGCTGCGGACCAAAGCCCGGGCCCTCCTCACGCGGGGCGGGCAGAGCTTCGCTCCGCTCCCCCCGCCCCAGCTGGGGCTGGAGCGCCCCCTCCCCACCCCGCGCCCCGGGCGGAGGGGATGAGGCTGGGAACAAGAAAGCGGCCAGCCCCGAGGAGGAAAGGGATGCCTGGGGTTGGAGGAGGGGAGCTAAGGGGGGGAGGCCAGTGGGGATTCCCCCCACCCCCGCCGGGCAGCGGCAACAACAGCATCCCGGCCGTGGCCGTGACAGCCGCCCCCCATCGCATCCCTTCCGCCCGCCTCGCCTCTCCTCACCTCCCCCGGGGGCGGCGGCGGCGGCGCCGGCGGCACTCGGTGTCTCGTCTTGTCTCCTCTCCTGTGTCGGCGTCGGCGGCAGCCAGGGCACCACCACTGCCTCCTCCTTCTCCTCCTCCTCCTCCTCCTCCTTCACCACCACCACCTCCTCCTCCTCCTCCTCCTCCTCCACCTCCTCCTCCCTCCTAGTGTCTCGGTCTGAGTCTCCGCCTCCCTCCGCCGCTGGGCCCTGACTGCTGCGCCACGTGATCCGTCACATGACCCAGCACATTTAGCAGGCGCCACCCCGAACCTCCTCGCGGCTCCTCTCCAATTCGGGCTCCGGGGCCAGAGCAGACGGGATCCGCCGCCAGCAGCCCCAGGCAGCGGCCGGGACCCGTCCCTTCCCCCTCTCTGGGCGGCCTGCGCTCCTCCCTCTTTCCCCGCCCTCCCCCCCCAGTCCCGGCGGCTCGCGCTGCACGCTCCCCCCACCCCGCCCCGCCCCGCCCCGCCCCGCCCCTTCGTGTGCGCTCGGCCCGCGCCTCTGCACGTCCAGACCCACTCGGCCGCGCCGAGTGCGGGCCGCCCTCCCCGCCCGAGGTTGGAGTGAAACGCTTCCTACCGAAGGTTCGCGCAGCCTTGGCCGACACGTCCCGGAAAGGTCCCGCTCCCTTCCTCGTTTTTTTCTCTCCCCTTCCCACCCGCCCGTGTTTTCCCCCAGGCCACGCATCCCGCGGTGACGCTGCCCACGCGCACACCTTTTTGTGATCCTAGGCAAGTCTGCCTCAGTTACTTTACGTGTGAGATAGGGATAATAGCACCCATTTCCAGGGTGGTTGTGACGATCGAATGAGGTAATACTTGAAAACTTTCAAATATCAAAATATATCATCAAAAGATAATTTTTAAGTTGAAAAGTTTGCAAATCTTAAAGCGCTCTATAATTGCTCTAATAACCTTCTGTTAAACAGTTCAACTGACTACCACTGAAGAGTTATAAGGAAAACACCTTGTAAAACTTTAAAAGTGCTATATAAATATATTCTGCCAGGTGGTAGAGTGGAATCAGATTGGCCTTGAGTTCAAATCCTGTCTCCGATACTAGCTGTCTGACCCTGAGCAAGTTACTTAATCCATTTGCCTCCATTAACCCCATCTGTAAAAGGGGGATAATAATAGCATCTACATCCCAGGGTGGTTGTGAGGATCAAATGAGATACTAAATGTGCTCAGCACTATGTGTCATGAGCAATATATAAATGTTAGCTATTATATTGCACGTTTCGGAAATGCTCTTCTCTAAACAAACCTATGAGAAACAATATTATTGTGTCTGTTTTTACAGAGGCTCAGAGAGATTAAGTGACCTGCCTGTGAGCCTGTAACTTGAACCCACGTCTTTCCTGCTGTCCCTTAGACCTTTAACTAATCATGTAAATTCTCTGAATCTCATTAGTCAAATGATCTAAATGAGCTATATTGTCTTTAAAACTGGAAATCACTAGATGTAAACCCCACCAGCACCACCAGTGCCTTGCACCATATACCCAGATAGATGAAGATAGTGGGTCACCTGATGTGTGATCTCAAAAACAATACCACTTTTGTGTAGGGGGAAAGGGAGAGAAATTAGAAAAGGAGATGTGTAGTAAAATTTCACTTAGCTTTTAAAGAGAAATTCACTGCTTTTGTTCTACGAAGGAGGTAGAATTTGAGTTTGGGGAAAAGATCTCCCCAAAGAAAAAGTAACCTTAGAAAAGGTCAAAGAAACAGAGTTAGAGTGTGGGGTAGAGACAGACCTTTAGTCTATATTTTAAACAACAGGATAAGCCCACCAATTCTTTCTTGAAGGAGCCCTCGACTATCATAGAAATTTCCTACCCCACCAGGGTATTCTGATAAGATAAACTGCAGAGAAAACATCCTCACCACAGGAACAAACCTGATTTTTGGCAACTCCTAAGACCCCAAAGTTAACATGTTCCAATTCCAAGGTTAACACATTCTTCCCAAAATCACTTGACATCATGTCCCTATTACTCAACTTCCCAAATAAGGAAAATGACTGAGCAGCCTCAGTTGATAGGCTCTTTTTGCCCCTCATAATGTTGCCCTCAGGCTTTGTAAATCCCTATGTATCTCCCTTTGTTTCTTACCTACCTTTCCACCTGGCAACAGTCCATCTTTCTGATCTTCTAACCCTGCCTCTTGATTTATTAACCTGGAGGCAAAGCTCTGGTAGATCTTAGGACCTCTGACTGAAGAATTCCTCAACAATTCCCTTATTAAATGATGTGCATGCACTGTGGGCTGGCAGATATTAAGACGAGGGCACTGAATATTCTCCCAGGACAGTATATGAATTTTGTACTTGTGAGAATACAGAAATAATTAGGGGACACATAAAGATGTAAAGTAACTTGGAAGAGAAATTGCAGCTGTAGCTTGATGGTCTCTAAATGGTGCACTGAACCCCAACGACCCAGGGTATCAGCCTTATAGCCTCCACATCATTTTCACCACGTTCAAAGAAACAGCAATGCTAGACGATAAACATGGATGTAGCTTTAAAAGAATTTTGAACATGATCCACAGGCATGAGTTCAAGTGTAGAATATATTTTCATTTGTGGCCATAGCCACTATTTGTAGAGCTTGTTATGTTTCTGGCTTTGCTAGTTTAACTGGGAAGAGAACTAAAGTCTATTCCAAATTGAAGACTTCTTCTCCCCTATACTATAAACTCATTGTGGGCAGGGTTTGTGCCCTATACATTTCCCTACCATATCTGGGTCCAGGATCCTACAGTTCTGTGACTCAAATGTGTGATGGTTAATGATAACAATGATTAAATGATAGATGTATAGTGGAAAATTGTCAGCATTGATACTGTTTATACTTACTGGAGAGCTGAAAAATTAGAAGGTAAACCCTCAGATATATTAAGACTGATATGAGTTCCTAATTAATGTGAATTAGGAATCCTGTGACTAGGCTGCATTATTCAAATTTGCACTGAGTATTTCCACAGGATCATATTACCAAGTGTTACATAATCATACAGATATTTACATACCAATGACCATATGGTGCATACTTATCCCTTCAAATAGTCCAAGTTCAAATAAGTATGACTCCATCAGGAGATTCATTATTCGAACTAATCAGGGCCTTGTGTGAACTATTTATCATTTATACCTAATTGCAATGCAACAAAACAACAAACAGATATAACATTAAATATTTGTCTGATTAACTTCTTATAAGTTTTGATTCAAGTCCTGTCTCTGATAAATACTGGCTATCTGACCATAGGCAAGTTGCCTTTCCCCTCAGTGTCCCAGGCAACTCTTTAAGACTGTAATTTGCAGAGAAAGCCCTGATCTGTGTTGATCCGAGGAAGCTCCCTATACAGGTGAGATGATGGTCCTGGTCCAAAAAAAATTTTTTAAATGACTAAACCCTATACGTAAATGATCAGTCTTAACAGTTTCACAGTCATGTGTTCATGATGCTCTCCACAAAACTTTACAAAATCATAGGGAACAATTGCCACTAGAAAAGGCATTTTCTCCATGGTTTTCTTTCCCCAGTTTAGACTCTGCCCTGTCTTTGATGTGTAACAAAATTCACAGCTTGAAATGGTATTACTATGGATGCTCACCCATATCTAAAAATGTGTACATAGACCTCACTGCTTATGAGCTAATTGAGATAGTTTAACAGCTTCAATATAGCAGCTAGCTCTATTACTGTTAGATTGTTGGTGAATTTTTTTTTCCTTTTATGAGCTGCAAGAGGGCATTTCAGGACACATGGGTAATATTTAAGAGATTGGTACTCTGCATCAGTTTCTTAAAATAGTTGCCAGCCTAATTCCTAGAGTTTCTCTTGATTTGTCTAAGTGCATTCCCCTTTTGTGGTGCTCTGTGAAAAAGGTAAAGTCCACTGTCAAAATGTTAATTATGAAAGCATGTCACAAGTAGTCTATAATGCTCCAGAAATATAAGACAGACTTCACAAGGAGTGAGAAAAGTAGAAAGAGTAAGTAGTAGCCAGGGACTTTTTTTGTTTAACTTACAGTAATATACTATTCTCTAGAATACCATCTGGAATCCCAAACATATCCAGCAAAAAGAGATTTCCTTCCTTGGGCTAGGAGGAGAGAAGACTTAAATAATAAAAAGCGAGGAAGACAAATGCAGAAAAGCCCAAATATTAAAAAAAATAGAAAAGAAAAGCCCAAACATGCAAAGTGCCACTAGTTCAAATATATTATTTCGTTGGGGATCTTTTGGTGGCATGTGCCTGAATAAATAGCCTATCAACAAAATAAAATTAAAATTTCTTGATCCACATCTGTTAGGACTTTGGAAATCATATGATGAGGCTACATTGGCAATAAAAATGTTTATTTTTACTGATCTGATGAAGAAATTTGTGAGGGTTTTTTTGATTGTTTGTTTTGGCAATGGGGTTAAGTGACTTGCCCAGGGTCACACAGCTAGTCCAGTGTCTGAGCTCAGATTTAAACTCAGGTCCTACTGACTCCAGGGCTGGTGCTCTATCCACTGTGCCACCCAACTGCCCCCATAAATATGCAGTTGTTTTTACCCTATCCAAGTTTGCTGATCCTCTTCTTTTTTAAGGTTTTTTTTTTAATCCCTAAGATTACTATTAGAGCTTCCCACCCTTACCTTCTACTCCATCCTCCATAGTACCATTCTGGTTCACCATATGAGAATAATTTTAATTCCCAATCAAAATACTTACAGGTTGTGTGTTCAACTCTGTCCTCCAATCCAACACAGCCTCTGCAGGAAGCTTGGAAGTATTTGCTAAAAGAAGCCACCTGAATGTACAAGAAACTGTCCTGTCCCTTGGCTCCATAGTATGGGGGTATCAGGAGGGTGGTGTAGAAGTTGCACCAGGAGTAGACAAAGGAAGGTATACATGTGCCCTATTGAAGAAAATTTAGCAAAGGTTAGGACACCTGGTTTTAGTGAGGTTATTTTTCCCACAAATCCTTACTGAAGTCATTATCATTGTTTAATATGGGTTGAATGCCGTGAATGCACACAGGAGTCCCAAGTGTTCTGGCAGGTATAAAAACAAATGTACCATGCTATATACCATTATCATAGCACATAT